CAACAAAGTGAGATATCAGCTCTTCCACTCATCAGTTCTAGGACTGACTTGTCGAGGGAACCTACAAGCTATTACAAATCACAAGACAGCAAGACAGCTAATTTTTACGTGGTTCAGCAAATCGCCTACGTCCACGGGGTAAGGAGGGGGGAGATCTACTATTAGAGGGAGAGAATACAACTAGGGTTTACAACCTACGTCCACGGGGTAAGGAGGGGGGAGATCTACTATTAGAGGGAGAGAATACAACTAGGGTTTACAACCTCACAATCTAAACCCTCACGCAAACTCTCAGATCCCTCATACAAATACTCTCTCAAAAGGATACTCAAAACTCTCATAAGGGACTGCTCAAAATCTTGCACCGCCAAACCTGCGTCTGCTTTTTCTGCTCTTGCGCCGCCAAATATATATGCGTCTGCAGCGAAACCCCCTTTTTCTCGCTTGTACGCCACCACAAACTCTGCCTACTTGTTTCGTACTTGCACAGCCGCTTATATCCTCTCTGCTCTCTGCCAATTGCCTACTTGTGGCTATCTCTTCACGCTCTCCAATTGAGAACGTCACGTGGTGGCCTCACACGTTCACACTTTCAGCACAAAGAAACTTAACACGTACGAAGATATCATATCATGGAAGTTATCATTGGGGAACCTCTACTTCCCACATATGCAATTGGAAAACATGGAATATGCATCGTATGTATGTAGTGCATCTGGATACCATAGAGAACTAGTGGACCCTAAGATGTAACCTCTCTTTCTTTTGATGTCTCAATATGAGGCTAAGAACTAAGGAGAGTACTTCTTTTGATCTACGTACTCAAATGGTTCAGGGCAAAAAAAAAAATAGAAGTTCAACAATCACGAGTATCACATTTTATTGAAAAATGTGGTCCATGTTGTTGCTATGCATGCTTGATCTTGAAAGAAAGTTCGAAAGTCAAGGAGTAGTTGAACTAAATATGAAGTGCATATCACCATCTATCATTAATCTAGGCTTTCCCGTACGTGTCTAAGTTGATGTAACAAAAATATCATTAGAGCAACTGATTAACCAATTAATCTTGATGTTTGTTGACTCTGGTACAAGCTTGAACTATTAACTACTAAACCCTAATGTTGGATCTGAGATGCAAGCCTAGAGGAGGTTAGAATTAATATAAAACTATAATCCTTGATCATCACCATAACTTCGGAGTTTTGGTGTAATGGTTAGGAGAGCTAAATTTAAGATGGTATCAGAGCAACTCAGGTTCAAATCCCACCGGCCACGAATTAAATGCGGATTTTCTAAAAATTGACACCGCCACGTGAGTCCAAGTTTCGACCCATAAAAAAGGGCCCTCAACTTGCGGGAGCATATTAGAATTAATATAAAACTATAATTCTTGATCCTCACAATAACTTGAGATTTTTATAGTAGTCTAGATAAACAATCCTAGCTACCATCACTATTCCTTCTCGCGAAGGGGCTTCTTTACTATGAAAGAATTCTCCTAAATCACACACCCGATTCATCAAGATTACAAAATGCACCCTAATATCTATCTGAAACCAATCATCTAATCCAACTCTCACAATGAGTAACTCCTAGTCCTAACTAGTCCCAACTCTCAATTCAACCAGCTTGAGTGCATTGTAGAATAAGTTCAATGAAATAGAAAAACAAATATCAGGTAAGCACAAGTATAAAAAACGTTCTTACAGCCATTTCGATTTGCAAACCATTCTTCGAAAGATCTAAGGTATGCTAGATGAAGGACGAGGATAAAAATCATGACTCTCCTCGAGTGTAGGATATTCACGCGCACCACTGATAAACAAGAGACTTCAGAAGGGGTGCTCGAATGATCATTACACAAAGATATTGTGTTTCATAGCTGGAAAAAAAAAATACTCAGGAGGCCATTTCCATTTGGACGTAAATAATCAGTATCTAGCTATTGGACATGACATTCAAGTTATAATCAGGCCTATGGATCGTCCAGACGAACTCTTGTCGAGCACTGATGTGGGAGGAAAGTTGCAGGTAATCACTTTATTCGGCTTTGTTTTTTGTTTTATCCCAGTCAAGAAGAAGGATATTTGCTTCTCCACTTTAAGGGGGTGTTTGGTTCAACAATTTTATAGAAAAGTTTTCTCAAAATAACTGACAATGATATTTTTGTAATTAAAAATTTTCTGTAGATTTTCGTAAACTGTGTTTGGTTCAAAAAAATTACAGAAATGTTTTCTGTAAAGTACCAAAATTTACAGAAATCAATTTTCTCTCAAAATGGACGGAAATCACCCAGAAATCTGACACACCATTATTTAAATAATAAAACTCATTGACCGTACCCATTGTAGGCATCTAAAATGCCTATAGGTGTCCACACGTAGCTCGAGACGAAGAGAAGACGATGAACGTCATCATCCGAGTCAAGAAGGATTATCCGAGTGGCCCGCGGCTTGTCGGCCAGTTTCAAGTGCCCGCCGCGCTTGTCGGTCAGCTCCAAGCACCGCGTTTGTCATTCAGCTTCAACTACCGTAAAAAAGCTAACGAACGCATGAAGCAAGTTAGCGAAGCATACAAGTCAAAAGGACGATCAGATACGTAAAACGGTAAAAAATACAAGTCCCAGAAAATCGTAAAGTGCCAAAGAGTTTCAGCCAAGGCCAAATTTCTCGCGCCAACGCAAGACAACGGCCTGACCCGCGCCTCCCGCGGGTCAGCAGGACCTGCCGCGCAGTCTTGATCCCCAAACGCGTTTTTGACGGGTCTTTTGCTATTTTCTCGGGATTTGTTCGTTCCTTAGTGTCTCAACTACTTGAATATCATCCATAAACGTGGTTAGGCCGTTATTAACTGAAGATAGGGTCAAATCATTCATTCTAATCCAAATACCCCTATCCGGTGCCCTATAAATACAAGCCTAGGACCTTCATTCTAGGGGGCAAATTATTATCAAGACGAGGAGGTGCTACCGAGTTGGAGAGTAAGGGAGCATGAATTTCAGAGGAGGCTAGCTGATCTTGGCAAAGTTCTTCAGCATAAAGAGGGAGAGTTCGAGAGATCTGAAGCTCCGTCCCCCCTTTCCTTGAGATTAGGCTTGGTCTTAATCTCGAGAAGAGTACTGATTTCGCTTGGTCGATATCAGTACTTCAGCGAATACTTCCTTGGTGAAGTAGGAGGTCTGATCAATTATTTTATCAACCGGATCCGGTTCGTAGGTGGTCCACGGATAAACTCCGGTATAGGCAAAGATCCCACGCAAACAGAGACTAATAAATAGGATCTGTGTGTTGTTTGAAAGAGATTGTAATTAGTTATCTTCATTGTGTAAAAGTCTTATAAAAAGACTAACTTTTTGTTGAGTTTATTGTAATGCCTGAAGTTATAATAAATTCAATCACAATGAAAAAAATAATTTCTAACCCAAACACGCTGGCGACCACAGTGGGAGCCAACAGTCTTTCTGCGAAGACTGATGTGTCGCAACCTCGGATCCGAATCCCGGTTGAAGAAGTGGTCGAATACGAGTTCGACCAAGGAAAGTTCGAGGAGTATTTGTCGTCCTCCTCCTCCAGATCCTCCGCCCCTCGTTGTCACCTTAATTTTATGGGAATTTCAAAAAAGTACCTCAGATGCCCTCTCTTTTCTAGAGGAAGGTGGGCACTCCTAGCTAATGGAGAGGTTACAGGTCAAAGTGGAAAAACTTTGGTTAAATCCTTAATCTTTCCTTAATTAGGATTTATGCTAATTAAGTCTTTGCCTTGATAAAGAAAGAGCTTAATAATACTTGTTATCTAGAGTTGTACTCGTTACTTGTAATAGCTCTCAACCTAACAAGATACGTCTATGCATGAACTGACATACATACCACAACCCGGGCCCATGAGCCTATTAGCGTGATGTAAGTTCTAGGATCCCCCTACTGCAACACATGGTTTGGCTTAATCTAAGGTTAAAATTGATTAGTCAATGTTGCACTTGACTCCTTAAACTTACATTATAAACCATTCAATCGCTTAATCAATATCTGATGCAGGACAAAATATTAGGATATCACACAACTAGACAGGTGGAGGATGAAAAAAAAGGTATATAGTTACACCATTGTAACATGCTGATGTAGCTATTTATGACCCCTAAACTATTTTATTAGCACTTATAATACCTGAACCCAAGACGATACAGTTTTCAAGTACAAGCTGAGATAGATTACCCTTCCACCAGTTTTATTGGAAAAAAGACTATATATTACCGTCTAAAGAAAAATGCCTTAAGGACCCAAAATATAGGACCAAGTGAGGGGACAAGTGAGGTGTCCTCTCCCTATTGCATAATGAGCTGGTCATGCCAGCTTATTATGCAATAGGATGGGGACATCTCACATGTCTCTTCCAATGGTCCCATATTTTGGGTCCCTGTAGCAGCGTTCTCGTCTAAATTAGGAAAAAGGAAAATTCTGTCTAAAATTCAAGCGGTGTGTTTATTTTTAAAAATAATAGTAAATGACTATATTATATACAAGGATGTTTCAGCAATAACACGAATATATAAATGGGGACACAAATGATATTTTGGTTTTGTAAGGTACTTGTCATTGTGACGATCTTGATGCGTCGCTTCACACATGAACGTTTCAAGATAACTCCAAGCAATGTTTTTAGGAGTACAAGACTTTCATTGGTGCAGATAAGAACATGAGTGGTCCTGAATATTTATATCTCGTTGATATATGGTAGATCTAGGGACACGATAATTTTTTTGTAAAACCTAGCTAGATACAAACCACAATTTTCTGTGCTTCTCTTTTGCCAGTACGAAGAATTAATTGCATGGACATAAACAAATTAGGACCACTAAAAGTTATATTGGCCATTAGCTAAAAAGCCTAGGTCCACTAAAAAGTTAATAGTGGACATAAGCGACAATTTCTCGTGAAAAACGTGGGTTTGTTGCTGGACGAGTAGAATAGAAGTACGATATATATGCACAGCTAGGGTTTGAGCATGGTAAGTGCAAAAACTTGGAAGAGAGAGTTTATTAGGGAACAAGAGGAGGAGGAGGTAGCTATGAAGGTGGAAGTAGAAGAGATTCTTCATATGGTTGGAGGCTTAGGAGAGGCAAGCTATGCCAACTTGTTTAGTGTTTATTTTTTTTCAGTTATATTTTTTATTATTTAGCAGATGATTATGATTTATATATCCTGACTGAAAAGTGATCAAAATGAGTGCAAGTGCAATTCATAAAAAAACTAATAGCGATAAATAAAGACCCTCTAAAAAAACTCTAAAGTTGTAATGAGGATTGAGGACTATATTTAACATATCCCCACAAGTTGAGGATCCTTATTATTGGCTAAAAAATCTAGCATGAAACAGTTTCAATTTTTAGAAAATCACTTTGAATTCGTGATCGGTGGGATTTTGAACTTAATTGCTCTGATGGCATGTCAAAGTCCCTAACCATCACATCCTAAAGTAGTCAGGAGAGTCACTGTTTTGTCATAATTACATATTATAGTATTTTGACTGTTGTTGCAAAATCAAACATCGATATGTTGCAACCTTCATTATTCGCACTAATTATCACTTTACATTGCAGACAGTTTCCAACCATCTTTCAATTAATTGATGATTGTAATTAAAACTTTATTTGATGATAACTAAGATGATTCAGATTAGATGTAAACAGATGAACTTATATGTTGCTAGAACTTTTGGGCTGAAATATGAGTTGTTTTATGCAATAATAATTTTTTAGATCATGTCCAAATGTACGTGTATTTAATGAGATTTATGGATGCCTTATCACAACATTGTAAAGTCTCATTCACTAGACCAGAACTCCAAAATCACAATGAGAACTTAGGATTTTAATTTTATATTAGAACATTTTGGTTAATAGAGTACAACTTTAGAAGAACATTTACAAAACATCGCATTACTAACCAATTCCAAAGGTTATACAACAACTTGATAAATCTTTATGTTTATCCAGGAACAAGCAATAGGGAAGGCAAAACCTATAGTTGAAAAGAGCATATCAGAGGTATATTGCACTCTCCTCCCTCAAAACTTAGTCATTGTAGACTTAGGATGCTCCTCAGGCCCTACAGCATTCATGGTGATCTCAAACATACTCTCAGCCATAGTACCCGACCTCTGCCACCGTTTGAGCCACCACCGGTCGCCAGAGATCTCCTTCTTCTTAAACGATCTCCCCGGAAATGACTTCAACACAATCTTCAAGTCCTTGACTAAGTTGGAAAAAATGGTTAGAGAGGAGATCAAAGAGCTCAAAGATTTGCCTTACTATGTCTTTGGAGCACCGGGATCGTTTTATGGGAAGTTGTTCCCGAGGGACAGCATACACTTCACGCACTCTTCCTATAGTCTTCATTGGTTATCTCAGGTTAATTAGCTTTCTTGCTTGCTAATTAAAGTAAATTGATGCTGATGTGTTTCTCTGCAATTGTGGCTAGTGTGTTGCTGACGGAACAATATTGAAGCCTTGTGTTATGATTTGGGTTTGTTAATGATCTGAAGTGTAATAATTTGAAAGTATGTCATATTAGCAATACACCAGCCGAAAGAGTAAAGAGACACACTGTGATTTTTCCTCTCATTAATTACCATGTACTTTACTTATAGATAATTTGCTAATCATTTTAGTTTACTTCTAGGTACCTCAATCACTTCAGGACTATGAGGATACTCCAATAAACTGCGGGAACATTTATATAGCAAAGGATAGCCCTTCTGGTGTTTCTAGATCATATCTTGAACAATTTCAGCAAGATTTCTCAATGTTTCTCAAGTTGAGAGCAGAAGAAATTATCTCTGGAGGACAAATGGTTTTGACATTTTTAGGGAGGACCAACTTGGATCCTCTGAGAGGAGAGATGACCTATCTTCTTGAATTATTAGCAGAGGCACTCAATAGTTTTGTTTCAGAGGTACAAAGATTTGATTCTAATTTAACATTTTACTACAACTATACTATACATTTAGGTTATCTAAAAAATAAGGGGGAAAAAACCAATACTCTGTATTTACAAGAGTTATTAATTGTAATACATTTATGTCCTATGATGGTATAGCCATTTATTATTCTCTAAACTATTTTATTAGCACTTACCCCTTCTAAAAGTTAGACAACATTGTTTCCGTATTAAGTAGCTAGGTTCAAGGTGTTACATGTGAAATGCCATGATAATAAATTACTTCTCGGCATGGTTTTTACCCTCTAAATTGCGGACAAATAGTTACGGTACTACCTGCAGTTCATGCCTTCATGCAGTGTAAATGAGAATTAAAAAGTTTAGAATATGTATACGCAAGTAATCTAATTATAAATCTGTAACCATAGTTTCTTTATGTGCTGAGGTACTTAATTATTTCAGGGACTGTTAGAGAAGGAGAAAGTGGATCAATTCAATATGCCCTTCTATGCGCCTGCAATGGAAGAAGTAAGGGAAATCATAATGAATCAAGGATCATTTAATCTCCATCAAGAGTATATTTTTGAGTTGAATTGGGATCCTCATGACAGTTGCGATGGAGAGTTTGTTTCTGATAACAAACTGAGCGGAGAAAACGCTGCGAAATGCGTGAGAGCTGCGCTAGAACCTATGCTTGCGAGTTATTTTGGGGAGGAGATCATTGACACCTTGTTTTCAAGGTATGCAGAGAACGTTGCAAAGCATCTTTTGAAACAAAAGACTAAGTTGGTTAATTTCACCATTGCATTGAAGAAAATATGATGAAAAAGGTGAATGAACTTATAGAAATGAAGGTAATGTATTTGTGTTTACTAAATAAAAATACCCTTTTTATTGGGTTTTTAGAGTATAAAAGTATAACTCTTAATCTTCATCACGACTCCGAAAATTTGGTGCAATCAGAGAGATGTTAAGATACTAGTATAGTTATCTAGGTTCCAATCAGATAGATATAAGTATGATCATAAAAGTATAACTCTCAAGTGTCATCACAGTCCTAGGATTTTGACGTAGCGGGAGATATTTTTAGATGACTTGTTCAAGGTGATATCATTTACTCGGTCTTTCCCGGCAATCACTACTAAATAATGAGGTATCCTAGACGGAAAATTCCGTCTAGGATACCAAGAATTCCGTCTAGAATGTTTATTCTAGACGGAATTCCGTCTAGAATACGCGTCTAGTATGTTTCCGTCTAGGATGTAGTATTCTAATGTTTGAGATAGTCATGGCAATAACTTTCCTAAAAGCAACGATTTGGTAGTCACGTGAGAAAGGAAATTAACAGTTTCAAGAACAACTTTTTCTGTTGAATTATAGGCACGATTTTGTATTTTTTTTTTGGGTCAAATTGTGCTTTGTGTGTGTGTGTTTCTTTCGAATTGTCTTCTTACATCAACTATCATGATATAAAAATGTAAAAATATAAAGGTAGCCCTTATAATATGATTCTTTTTTTGAAGTAACAGTATAATATGATTTTGGTATTCGGTAGTGGAATATTTAAATTAGTATAAAGTTATCTGTAGAGTCCTCTCCCACCAGCAAAATTATGTATTTACAGTTAAATTAGTATAATAACTGTTAATCAATTATTTATCAGAGTTAACTCATTTCAAATATATCATTTTGCTGTTATTATATGGTTCTATAATCAGAGTCAACTCATCTATATCTATATCTATGCTACTTATAAAAGAGAATACACATGTTAAAACTTTTAATTTCCTTTTTTACCCTCTCAAATTTTGATAATTTATAATTATACCATTACTTTTGAATAATTTTAACTAATTATCCATAACATCTTATTAATTAGGACCCCCCTTACTTTCTCACATATTGAGGCATTCATTAAAATAATTAATATAAATATCTTTACAATGATAAAAAAAATTCATAAAATATGTTATAATTTATTATAGATAATTATTGATTATAATAAAATCGTATAAACTTATTAGTGTAATAAAATATTTTGTAAAATAAATATACATAATTCATTAAATAATATATTATTAAATTGTTAAATATCTATTTATAATTATAATAAAATAGTACGTTGTCAAATATTATTAAAAAGTATGTCATTCACTACTTATAAATATGTTATTAAATTGTTAGATGCCTATTTATAAATTATAATAAAATAATAAAATACTATTACAAATAAAATAACACATTATTAAATATTCTTAAAAAATATATTATCATTCAATAAATAATACAATAAATTTGTATAACTATTTTATAGTAAAATAATATAATTATTTTAATATTATAACTGTTATGGTATTCCCATTCGCCAAAATATAACTCGCCAAACAACGGGTAGGTGTATTTCTGCAAGCAACGCCCCAACCAGCTTGGTAGCCCAAGCCCGACGGAGGTCCCAACTTGGCCGACCCGTCAAGTCAACACTCTTCATGACGACTCAAGAGTCAGGATCAGTCGACCCTCTTGTCGAAGTCGACTTGCATGGAGCCCACTCGACCTTTTATTCAATGTCATGCGAGGACGACTTGATGAGCGTTACTTCTCGGTGAAACTGGAGGATAATATTTGTCTCGGGCTTCTCCCTCTGGCTATGTGTCAGCACCGTGGTCAACGCTGGACAGACCCCATCATGATCCTAGCCCCGAGATAGTCTTCATGAATCGTCATATCACATGAGCTCTGCCACGCCGCCGATCACTCTCCATTCAATGCTGAGGCGATCTCTCCAATGCTGAAGTGATCTTTCCCCCAACCACCTACCGACACCCGTAAAGTGGGTGCTGACGCAGCCACCATCTCATACCTTGCCATCACTTCTCCGTACTCGGCCAAAGTGTCCAATCTACCCTTCTCCCACAATATATATACAAGTACTATTCTCCTTTTAGAAGGAGGAGGGGTCTTTTTCCAAAAAAAGGGAAGGAGGACTCTTAAGTTCTGCTTCTTCTTCCACTCAAGTTACCATCTAACTTGATCGTCGGAGGTACAATGGGGGAACTTATCCCCGTCCTCTCATGAGTTTTTATATGTGCAGATTTCTCAGTTCCCCAATTCAAGAACAAGACATAAAGTAGGAGAAGGAGGCGGCCCCCTCATCAATCTCCTTTACCTCATCGAGATTATCCTACCCTGGATACATACTGACTGTGTGATCATCACTACAAGAAATTACATCTTTAACGAAGGGATTTCCCTTCGTTAAAGAGCTGAAAACCGTCGTTATTGTAGGCTAACGACGGGGAAAAATCCCTTCGTCACCCGTCGTTGAAGCCCTCTTCGCTAAAGGGTCACGAAGGGATATAATACCCGTCGTTATAAAGTCTATAACGACGAAACATATTACCGTCATTAATATTTACGACGGGGATATAATACCCGTCGTTATAAAGTCTATAACGACGAAACATATTACCGTCATTAATATTTACGACGATAATTATCACCGTCGTTACCATCAGTGACGGGGATATTTTCCCGTCGTTACCATTAGTTACGGGGATATTTTCTCGTCGTTACCATTAGTTACGGGGATATTTTCCCATCGTTGAAGACTAATTAATAACGGTTGGATACCGTCGTAAAAGTCCTCATAATGGGTAATTAGTAACCCATCAACGACGGTGCTTTCCCTTCGTTGATGAACAAAATACGGTTTATAAAACCATCATTGTAGACTACAAATTTCTAATATACATTAATAATAATTTTTCTATTCATAGACAACTATCATATTATTCTCAACCTGACACTAAGATTCACAACAAAAATATATTAAAAATATCCAATAATGAATAAGAGGAAAAATAAAAATTCCATTCATTAATAACATCATCAATAAATAAAATTCCACAATCCTCAAATATTCAATACTAATAACAAGCTGAGTTAATATCCTAATTGTTCCAAAAAAAATACATGAAACTATCTAAAACAAATTAAAATAAAAGTTTGGGGAAGACACATTCTTTCATCTCTAATCATCATCAAAAGAAGACTCGAGCTACCCCCCTCCTAATCTTGTATGGATAGCTTGAAAAATTTAAAAAAATCACATAATTAAGAAATATCAATTAAGCAAATATTATCTTATTAAGTAAAAATCACATTTTTTAGTGCAAGTAGTCAATCATAAAAGTATATACGAGATTTTACAAAAAATAATTACCTAGTCATGCACATGTTCTCGAGTTTGAGGAGTCAATGAAGGTGATTGCCTAAAAAAAAGTTCTTGCATAGCTTTCACTTGTGACTCCAACTCAGACATCATTTGTTTGAAGCATGTGGTTCTTTTTCTTTTCTTCTACAACCCGTGCTTTCAGATCAGATCGACTAGGGAGTGGTTCTCTCAAATCTTTTAAAGTTGTCCCACCACCAAATACAGTGATGTGACCATGAGATTGCTTCCCCCAGATTTTCTCAAGTACTATCTCAATGTCAGAAAGTGACGGGTTTGCTTGTTTGACTTGAACAATTTCATCCTATAAAAATTAAATTCATATGTTAGTACTATATAATGCATCATTATCAAACTTAAACACATATTCTACTTACATATTTATCTTGATCCCCAGTATCTAGTGTTACATTAGCTTTCTTTCGAGTTTCATGAAACATTTTTGCCACATCAGGTGGATTTCCTGACTTGCCACCCTTATTCAAATATTAAATAAAAATGAGTACAACATCAAACTAAAAAACAAAGTAGTTATAAATAAATTAAATAAATAGTAAATTAGTTTTGAATGTATACCAATTCCCACGTAATTTGTCTAAAGGGTTTGTTGCCCGTGTGGTGGAGCATCTTTCTTTTGCCTCTGTTAAGTATATTTTGCTGGCTTGCTTTCTATACATCAAGATTAAAAGATAATTTTAACAATCCAACAATATACATGGAACAAAATTAATAAAATTAGGAGATTAATACCTAAAATTTTGAAGAAAAATAATGTTCCTTAACTAGCCAATCCCAGTCATCAACACTCACTTCTGTAGGTTTATTTCTAAGTGCAACTTGCAATGAATTTTCTTTCACATATTTCCTGTGCATGTCACCACGCCACTTATTCCACAAATCGCGCAAGTGTCTCATTACTAACTCTCTCTTTTGCTCCATGTCCTCAGCATCAAATTTATCCTATATCAAATTTGAATCAAAATTTAATTTATAAGAATTAAAAACCAAATGCAAAAAATTAATTTTCAATGTACCTTAATGGATGCCCACATATGATCTTTATTTTGTTGTGGTATTTTGGCCCAATTCTCAACAGCTACTGGGCAAATATTTCTATCTCGAATAATAATTCCAAGATATCGTGAAAATTCTGGCTCAATAGCTCTATTCTGATAAAAAGTAATGATCTTTTTCTCCCCATGTGACAAATTATTCAACTTTAGACACTTATTACTACCACGAGGTGGATTTTTCTTCCTTTGAGAATTATCAGCTGCATACATCATATCATATGTTAGAAACAAGATATAGGTAAAAAGAAATTGATAAAAATATTACTTCTTGTAATTAATAAAGAATATACCTTCTTGTCGAGATTCATTTAGTATTACATCATCACTTTGCACTCGATGATTATTTGATTCTGTTAAAATTGAGTAATTATTAATCCAATCATAAAAAATAAATTGAAAGATAAAAAAGAAATAACAATAAATTTTAAGTCTCATCAACCTGCAGAATCATCATTCTCTTCATTGTTAGTATTTGCACTTCTCCTGCGATTTTGTGCAAAATTCTCCTCTTCAAAGTTTTCTAAATCAGCACTAAAATTTGTACCCATATTTTGATCTTGTATTGGATTTTGAATATTCAAGTTCTTGTCATGACAAGTACGGAGTTGTTCCCTTCTTAATGAATTTTCTGCAATTGCTTGAAGTCGCTTCCTAATTAATGACCTGGGTGCTAGAAATTGTGCCCTTTTGCTTTTGGAAGTGACTTCTTGAGTTTTCATTTTTCTGCTATGAATAGGAATTTAAGTATCATACACTATGTATAAAACAAATGTCAAAAGAGAAATGAATAAAAGAAAAAGAAACCCCAAGAACAAGCATAATAATAAATACATAATACATGCTTTCACCTTGGACTACTTTTAACCAGAGCTTACTTCTGTGATTCGGTTGTTTATTTATTTACTTGCTTATTTAGTTATTGATTTATGTTCAAATCCCGAAACTAGCTTTTATCATACAGAATATATAGCTATTGGTTGCCACATTGATCTCATTCTATCAATTGCTCCGAAGTCAACAACTAACACAAGGTAATTTTAACAACTAACACAAGGTAATTTTTAACAAAACTATAGGGTACTTTTAAATAAAAGGTATTTTAAGGCAAAAGTGCAAAGTAGGATAAACTATAGGGGACTTGAGTGTAAATTTATTTAATCCATTTGATTGACGAATTTAGGGACTTGTATAATCATTACAGCTTTTCTTTGATTTTGGTTGTGGAAGCACTGCTAATGAGTCTTTCGGAAGTACAAAAGACTAAACTTTAGTAAACCAAAGGATACTCGTGTCATGATTGACTCCAAGTCTTTCTCATGACTGGAGTGTTATTGCTTCCTCCTGTTAAAAGAAAACTAACAGAAGCCTTTATAAGCATCAAATGCGATAAGGTAGTGATAACGCTAGGAATTATATTAAAATGAAAAATAAGCTATTTGCTGAAAGCCTAAACCCGTAAATTTTAAAGGGTTATTGTAGGCGTATAAAATTGCTTATAGGTCCCTTAGCACAGTTCGGTACAAACCGACGAACCAACGAGGCGTGAGGAGTTCAACCCCATTAGAACCAAAACTAATCACAGAAGAAACATATACACAATTAAAGAGGATAATAAACAATAAGTAAAACTTCGAAGTGAGCTTTGATGGAGAAAATTCAGGCTACCTCAAGGCTATAAACTCCTCAAACATTGCTGAAGTAAAATCAGGCTGCATCAAAGCCATTAAATTCCTCAACATGCAAGTAGGTGGCCTGATAACTAGCTCAAGACATGAAACCAACCTTCCCTTTGTCATAAATAAATCAATAAACTGTTAGTTCCAAGTTGAAGATATTAGGAAATGGAGGTGATGGACGCTAAGTCGGGGGTACAACTGCAATTAGGGTAGACTATGGATAATTGAGTGAAAATTGTACAACATAAAAAACCGATTTTTACTAAGCAATGTATATTAATTGGATACACCTATAGAAATTAATTGCAAGGTATATTAATTGGAATATATGCAGTGAATTAATTGCAAGTTGTATAAGATCTGTATACAACTATAGGTACTTTAGTGCAATTAAACAAAACAAGGGTATATTAATTGCAAAGTAGGGGAAACTATAGGTACTTAAGTGAAAATTAAACCAAACAGGGATTTGTTCCTTACCGTCGAACTTGGGGAAAACGCGGCGGTGGGGTGGCACTAGGACGGTGCGGCGGTGGTTCTGGGACGAGGCCGGCGGTGGGGCGGAGCTAGAGGTTGCGCTGAGGTGCGAGGTTTGCTTGGTCGGCGGCGGATCTAGGGCTGCACTGAGGCAGCGGCGAGCGATGATATGAGTCGGCGGGAGACTGTGGGGCGGCGGGCGAGGAGTTGAATAGATGAACAGGAGGCAGCGCGGAGGCGTTGAATAGATGAACAACGGCGACGGAGGAGAGTTGAAACAAGGCAGCGGAGGAGAGTTGAAACAAGGCAGCGGAGGCGTGAAATCAATGAATAGGAGGCGCTAGAGTTTGTTATTAGGGTTTAGTTTATAATTAGTTGTGGTTAATTGGAGGTTTGGGTTTTGGGTTTTTTATATTATTTTCAATAATAATCCAGTTAAGATTAGGAGTTATGATTAGTAAAGGTAATTGACTCCTTCGTCTTTTAGGAGACCCAATAACGACGGTATTAAAACTAAATCAACGAAGGGATTAGAAAACCGTTATCCCATCTCACATCATTACTCTAATAATTGTGATAACTAGATGAAGGGCTTTAAAACCATCGTTATTTTACACACATTAATGACGGTCAACTGTTCCCTTCACTAAGTTTGGTCGTTAAATATCAGATTTCTTGTAGTGCATATAAACCATCAATAGTTTGGCGCCCACCATGGGGCTTCCTCTCTTTTTCGAGAAGATATGTCAGGTTCTGAACAAGGGCCTGATCAGTCTCATCCTGTAGCTCAACCCCGAAGTTGTGTCACTCAAGCTAAGCAGAAAATAGTTTTGGCTGAGAGGAATCGACATAATCGCGTCCCTCTACAGCTTTAGCAACCATTTTGGGAGTATTTATCAGTTATCCATCTATAAGATGGATGAGCTCCCATTACCTTCAAAAGCCTCTCGAAAGATGAGCATCATGTCGTCTTTTTAGAGAGGTCTTCTTTGGTTGTCTTTCTAAAAAGAACAACTCCGGCTTCTTGAATATCTTTTTCAGAAAGAATTCCATCACCAAAGTTACCTAGTATCTATTAGCCGTACCACACGATCCATAAGAACTCAACTGAAGAGACTCTGTTTAAGCTAGCATATAGCGCTGAGGCAATCACTCCCGTCGAAGTAGGCATGCCTACCATTCGACTACAACACTTCGACGAGGACATGAACTCTGAGGGACTTCGGATCAGTCCCGACCTCCTTGAAGAGATCCGAGAGAAATCGCTCCGGACTCAAGTCACCAACCAGCAGTAAATCGCCCGCTACTACAACAGCAAAATCCAACCAAGGAGATTCAATGCTAGCGACCTCATCCTCTGCAAAGCCGCTTTCAATAGGAACACTCGTCGAGGCTGGGAAGGTCCTTACACAGTCCTAGAAGAGCTATGGGCCTGCACCTATCAACTAAGAGCCCCAGATAGGAGAATTTTACAACATCCCTAGAATATCGAGCATTTGAGGCGACATTTTCAATAACTGTAAATTTTGTTTAGCCTTAATAAAATTGTTATTGAAAGCGACTCGATTGCTGCCTCGCACTCCTGTAGTGCTTAGTCTATGCAGGCATCCTACCTCAGTTGGATATTAAGCCCTTGATACCTTTTCAGGAATAAACTCAAGGCACTAACCATATGGTCGACTCCCACAGTCGCCTCTCGACCATTATGGGGATACTGAAGACCCAGGCGTCTATGTAAGAGCTGGGCACTCAACCTCAGAGTTGTCATTTTACCTGATTGCCATCAAGGCGGCCCTCTGTAGGGCGAAAGACCTAGTCAACTTCAGCAAGTCCTAGGCACAGCCTCAGGGTTGTTAAAGACTTAGTCAACTTCAGTAAGTTCTAGGCATCCAACCCCGGTTGGATATTAAGCCCTTGGTACCTTTTCAAGAATAAACCCAAGGCACTAACCCTATGGTCGACTCCCATAGTTGCCTCTCGACAATTATGGGGATACTGAAGACCCAAACATCTACGTAAGACCTAGGCACCCAACCTTAGTGTTGTCATTTTACCTGATTGCCATCAAGGTGGCCCTCTGTAGGGTGAAAAACCTAGTCGACTTCAGCAAGTCCTACGCACAGCATCAGGGTTGTTAAAGACCTAGTCAACTTCAGTAAGTTCTAGGCATCCAACCTCGGTTAGATACTAAGCCATTGGTACCTTTTTAGGAATAAACCCAAGACACTAACCATATGGTCGACTCCCACAGTCACCTCTTGACCATTATGAGGATACTGAATACCCAAGCGTCTACGTAAGACCTAGGCACCTAACCTCAGGGTTGTCATTTCATCATTTTGCCCCTCAGGGCGGTCCTCTGTAGGGCGAAAGACCTAGTCGACTTCAGCAAGTCCTAGGAACAATATCAGGGTTGTAAAAGATCTAGTCAACTTTAGTAAATTCTAGGCATTCGACTTCGATCGAATTCAAAAACCTTGGTACCTTTTTAGGAATTAACCTGAGGCGCTCACCATATGGTCGACTCCCATAGTCGCCTCTCAACCATCACGGTTATACCGAAGACTCAGACGTCTACGTAAGACCTGAGCACCCAACCTCAGGGTTGTCATTTTTACCTAAGTACCACCAGGGTGGCCCTCTGTAGGGCGAAAGACCTAGTCGACTTCAGCAAGTCCTAGGCATGACCTCAGGGTTGTAATTTATAAAATAGATGATTAATTTTGAAAATCTCTTGGGGCTAGGAATAAACAACTAACAAGTTTGCAGCGGAAGCTAGAGGAACGTAGTACATTCTTAAAAATTATTAATCTTTACTTTGTCTATAATGATAGGATCTCATTATTAACTAGCTACAAGGCCTAGTACATTTTTTTGTTAGGCCCATGTGCGTCCTCATTGCAATAAATGTTATACAATTTAAGTACAAAGAAAAAAACGGGTTGATTAATGGTGTAGTTGGCGAGGGGAAACTCCAGCAGCTTAGTTTGGCATGTGGATATATTATAGATGTAGATGGAGAAGGGTGGTTTTGAAAATAGTGGGTGCATGTGGGTAATTAATATGGTTTTTGTTTGTGTGGTTTTCTTCATTCATTTTTAATATATCTGCGGTCCTGTGGATATATATAGCTATAACATTGCTACTCTCTTTTAATTTTGTGGAAGAGTTTGGGTGTTAAAAATTTTAAATTATATAATCCGGTTAAAGTAGGATTATATAAGTTAAGCCCATACATAAAATTTATTTTAACTAACACCCATGTGTAAATATTATAATTGGCATTGAGATCTAAAATTTGTGTGAGATTCTCTTTGATTTTTATACAAACAATATCTATTTAAATAATAATAAACTTCGTGACATGAA